GACCTGATTTACAACAAAAGATAAATTTGGTCTGGAGTGAGAAGATGTCCAGTGTGGTCAAGTTCAACATAACTCAGAAGTGTTAAACATGATTTGACACCTTCCACTTTAGTTTTTTGAAGCAAATCAAGAAGATATTTGCTTTGACGAAGAAACAAACCATATGATGATCTTTAAATTTCAAGACAAAGAAAGTATTGCAAAGGACCATGGCCCTTGATAGGAAAGGCTACACTTAATTTCTTGATGAAAAGGTTGTAGACAATTAATTAGGACCTATAACAAGAAAATAATCCACATAAAGTAGAATAATAAAAAGCTTTAAGCATAAACAATGAAACATCAGATGTTGAATCATGAAATTCAAAAAACTATAGAACTTGAAACAATTTTTCAAACCAAGCTCTGTGAGCTTGTTTTAATCCATAGAGGGACTTCCTAAGCTTACACATATCGTTGGATGATTTGGTCACATAAACCATGATGTTGGTGCATAAACATATTCCTTGAGATCACCATGTAAAAGGCATTACTAATATCTAATTGGTTAAAAAACCAATCATATTGAACTGCCAGTGACAAGATAATCCTGATAGTGACAGGTTTAGCCACTGGACTAAAAGTTTCTTAGTAGTCTAAACCTGCTTGCTGATGAAAGCCCTTGGCTACAAGCTTGTCTTTATATCTATCAGTGGTATCACCAGAGTGTTTCTTGATCTTGAACATCCAGTTGCAACCAACAATATTTTGAGTAGGGGAAGAGGAATTAATGTCCATGTTTTAATGGATTGTAATGCATTCAATTCCTCTTGCATAACAGTTCTCCAATGAGCATGTTTGGATGCTTAAAGGTAGGTATTCGGGGACAAAATCAATTGAGGAGGGTAATAAAGGTTTAGTGGCTGAGTAACTTTAGGTTTGTGGATTCCTACCTTTGATCAGGTAACCGTATAATGAACATTGGTAGCAACAATATTAGGATATGGTAGATGTGATGTAGATGTATTGAGAACAACAAGAACTTCAGCTGAAGAAGATACATTAGTAGAGGATTTAGTATGTGATGACACAACAGGAATTGATGGCAGACAAAAGTTATGATGTGGAATGGTAAATTCAAGGTTAATAAATGAATGTACATAGAGTTTTGATAATGCAGAGGGTTGAAAGGATTGGAATTTATGAAAAGGAAACTCAAATTCATTAAAAACATGTCTTGAAATATATACTCTCTCAGTGATTGGATCCAAACATCTGTACCCTTTATGTTAAAGATTGTACCCCAAGAAAACACAATGTTTGCTTTTATTGTTTAATTTGGAGGATGTGTAAGGTTTGAGCCATAGAAAACAGCTACATAAAAAAACTTTCAATCTTGAGTAATTTGGGTGGATATAAAATAGAAGTTCCCATAAAGATGTTGTAATACCAAGGATGGGAAGTCTATTAATTAGATAAACAATAGTAGGAAATGCTTCAACGTAATATAAGTGAGGCACCTGAGATTAAACTAACAAGGTTATATTAGTCTCAACCACATGTTTGTGGGTTCTTTTAACACAACCATTTTGCTCAGAAGTATGTGAAGAACTAAATTGTTGAAGAATTCCATGTGATTTGAGATAAGATTGAAACTTAGAAATGAATTCACCCTTTGAAGCAAATCTCACAATTTTGATTTTATTGCCAATAATATTTTGCTACATAGCATTGAAAAGTAATGAAGGTTGAATACAAATCTACCTTGAATTTTAAGGGGAAAAACCCAACTATATCTATTGAAATCATCAACAATAAGCAGATAATACTTATAACCATTCACAGAGGTCACATAAGAAGATCTCCATAAATGATAATGTAGTAAATCCAAACATTTAGAAGAAACAAAACTAGTAATACTAAATGGAAGCTTATGATCTATTGCCAAAGCACAATCTGGACCAAAAAAAGGTCCACTGAACTTTTACCTTGAAAAGTAATTTTATGATTTGAAAGTACTCTTCGAAAGATAGATGATACGGGGTGGCCAAGCCTACTATGCCACACTTTGATAGAAGCTTTATTACTTATTAAAGTAGTTGGAGAAGACAGTAGAGCGTGGAGCTTTGAAGTGGGTTAGAAACCATCTTTACATGGTCTTCGCAAAATTGTCTTTCCCATAGTACAATCCTTGACATATGAGCCATTAATATCAAGAGTTAGTAAACAACTATTATCATTGATAAACCAATATGCAAAAAGAAGATTATGCTGCATTTTAGGCACATGCAGCACATTGTGCAGCTTAAATGAAGAAGGTGTATGCAATGTAGAAAAGCCAACATGGTTAATAAACAAACCTTTACCATCATTAATGTACATTTTGTCTTCTCCATGTTAAGGACTAGGAGATTGAATGTTTGAAATATCATTTGTGATGTGCAATGTAGCACCAGAGTCATTTAACAAGCTGTCGACAATTAGACGAGTTAAGGGTGCGAGAGCCATGATAGCTTCCTCAATGATTGAAACTGTTACTTCTGGAGTTATAATTTGGGCCACGGTGTCCACGATTGTTGAATCCACGATTCTTCCTTCCACAATTAGAGTTTATTTCACATAGTTTTGTGATTGTGGATAGAGCAGCAAATGCTTGTGGTGTTGGAAGAAATGGTTCTTGAGGTACTTGAGATTGCACAGAGAATGCCTAAAAAGGTTTTGTGACACTTGATGAAGCAACTGTCTTCCTTCGAGACATGGGCAATTCCTTTGTGATAAGTAAACCAAGTAGCTCATTAATTGAAGTAAATGAGAGGTGAAGCATGATAGAATCAATAAACGATTCAAACTCATTTGGTAGCCCATCAAGAGTTGCAGCGATCAAATCATGATTAGTAACAAGTGTTTCAGTTGTAGTTAAAGAGTCATAGGTCTCCTTAATTTGCTGCAGGTGCCTAGAGATTGATAGAGAGCCTTTCTGAAGAGATTGAAGATGATATCGCAAATGATGAATTTGTACATCAAATACACGACACATCATTGTTCCATTTTGATCCACAGATCTCGAGAGGATGAAACACCAATAGTGAATGGAATGACTTCTTCAGATAAGGTAGAGTTTAACCAAATGAGGAGATTCTGACCTTTTCATACCATAGCTCAAAAGCTGGCTTGAGTGAATGATTTGGAATTAACAGTGATAGACACAGTTCAGTTCCATCAATGATGCCAATAAGCTTGTAGCGTCGGAGAATCAGAGCAAACAAAGCACGCCATGGAAGATAATTGGAGCATTTAAGGTTAATCGGAACCATGCTACCAAAGTTCTGATTTGTAAGAGAAGTGTATAAATTTGAGAAATTAGGGTTTGACGAAATAGAATTTGGGTGCGGAAATGGCACCGACTCTAGTGGAGAAGAAGATTTCGACAGAGACACCATGATATTCAAGAAATTGAAGATGAAAAGATGATTGAAGAATTGAAGAGTAACAAGCTTCGAAGATCAGAGAAAATAAGTGAAAGTTGGAAAGATCTAAGATGCCAATAGGCAAAAGGCAAGAGATAACAAGAAGGAAGTTTAGAGAGGAAGCAGCTTTACTGAATATACCTCATACTTTCATCAACAATAATTATAAGATACATTTGGTATTCATAGCATTGAGTTGTGAAAGCAATCGACAATTTTACGCCTTACTATTCTAACTAATAACATTTACAGTTGCCATTCAGTACTACGATCTGATGGTATTCCTTTTTACTTGTAAGTGAGAGGTCTTAGGTTTGAATCTCATAGATGTTGAATTCGATACCAAATTAGGTTGCCCATTTTGTGGCTTAACCGAACTCGCCCTCCCTTAGTGTAAAATATATCGTTGTACTAAAAAAAAAAAACATTTACAGTTACAACAACTTAGACAAATAGAAACTAATTATGATGACTATACTTGATACTTTTTAATGAGAAATGGACAATTAAGAAATCATTTTCCATTTCAACCAATTGCATTTTGATCCTTTCAAATTCTACCCTTGTTTTAAACGAGCAAGCACAAAATTATAGGTATAACATTTCCCCACAAATTTAGTAATGATTGAATTATGGCAGTACAATGTATATTTGTTCCTTCACCTTAGCAGCAAAATGAATATCAACGACCCTCTCTCTTAGTACTAGTGACTTCAAATTCTCCATACCCAATATTGAAATATCGTCCTCCATAGCCCACTTGGGATAACTCTTCATTGTCTTCACAATACCCAATATCTTATTCTTGAAAGATCCCTCAGTTTGCATAGGGATAATGCTCTTGAAATTCCGACCAAAAGACTTTAAATCCATTTTAGCTTCACCTTCCGGAGGCCGGAGGGAAGTCATATGGAAAGGATTTGGAGCCGTCCCCATCATAAGACATTCATTATTGCATAGAAGACAAAATAGACTCAATTTAGCCAAGCTATCAACTCTTATTTTACTCTCTATAAAATATTTCTAAACTTATTACCAAAAAAAAAAAAAAAAAAAAAAAAAAAAAAAAAAAAGGGTTCACATTTCTTTGAGGGTATCTTTCAAAATACAAACTAGAACATTCGAATCTGATTCCATATTCAAGCATCTAGCTCTCTTGTCCAAAACCATTTTTAATCCTAAAAATGCTAACTGACCTACTTAGTGAGAGACACATTTCTACATTATTATCGTCTAATTCTAATATAATAATGGAGGAGAAAATATATTAAAATAATAAAATAATCACTTAATTAATCGAACAGTAAATTACTATAATCTTCATAAACATGGAGTCTAGTCTAGGAGAAGTACCAAAGCATACAAAAAAGGCAAAAATGCAAACGGATAAACCGATAAAGTGTAGATAGAGAGAGAGTGTGCCGCAACATTTGACTCCGGTCCTATCCACTCCACAAGGTGCACTGAAATTAACATACGTTTAGCAGTTTACTAATTCTCATTTAACAAATGATACAGTATAAGAGCGCAAACTGCGACTTTCAAAAAACAAAAAATATGGCAGTTTCGGGTTTACTATTCTTCATGGCTCTTTGAGCTGAAAATAGTAGACAACCGTAACTTCTCATCATATAACTTCTTTTTAAAGATAAAATAAAAAAATCCTCATTCACTTCCGTTATGCTTTCTAAGACCTGGAGACACCAAATACCCTCAAGTAAAACCCAACAACTCTGAGATTCCGGCGTCTTCTCACCGGAAACTCCATATTCCCGCCAAATGGTGGCCAGGAGTTCGCCGGACTGGCTCCCGCCCGGATGGTCTGTCCAATCCAGATCCCAAAAGAGAGGTCGCAAAATTGTGGTAATACTTTGGCTAATTTCGTTCTTCTGCCTTCTAGGTTTTGACTTTGCTAACACACTATTTTGGTTTCTGGGTTGTTTAGTTTTCAATTGGTTGATTCCGGTTAGCTTGTGGCTGGGCTGCCAGGGCAGAAAGCTTGTGCCTTTATCGATTTGATTGTGTTATTTGGCCCATGTTTCTCTTTTTAGCATAATACAAGTCTTATATGATATTGGCATGTTACATTCGCATGCCATTGATGATTTTCAATGATATGCGAGTGCCTCTGTGTGTGAAAAATGTTTGTTTGGTTGATGAAAAGGAGTTGGATGTTGATGTTGAGTGATTCAGTTGGTTTTTAGTTAGTACGTGTTACATTTTTAGGAAAATTCTGAAGGTTTCTGTACTGGGATTAGTAGATTGACTTAAATTCCATGCTGCAACGGTCTCAATGCGATTGATTTGTTCGCTGCTTGACAACAATCTAGTTTGTATAGGAAGGGCTTGTCGTGTTCAGGGTTTGGCAGTGTGGGTTGTTGCTTTCTCCGCATAGCTTCCAGAATAATATCTAGAAACAGTGGTGGTGACCTGAAACAATTTGAGAGTGTTTTGTTGAGCTGAGCTCAATGCTAGAGTGTATGAGGCATTACTAATGGATCTTGTTACACATAAATGTCTGTATAGTAGGTTAAGATGCAAACGTGACCTGGCTCACTAAGCTCTCTTTTGTGGTTTTCTGTGTGATTCTGGTGTTGATGATGGACATAATGCTTGAACTGGAAGTAGCTGCAGCACGACTGTTGTGAGTGAAGGATTGAAGTCTGAAACAAAAATGGATTTCTTTATATTGGAGGAATAATGTTTAACTTCTTCCTCTTCTGTTCCGATTTTGGTGACCTAATTGAGCAATATAGTTAGAAAATATGCGAACTTGGAACAGAAGAGAATATTACTGTGTACGAAAATTAAAGCAGGAAAGATTTTACTGAACTCATATGGGAAGTTTGGAATCAAACTATCATGTCACTGTGTTATCACTAAGCACATAATCACGTTGGCTTTGCAGTTTTATACCCATTTGGAAACTGGGAAAAAGTTCTTTTCTAAAGATGATGCTATGCGCTATATCAAAATGCAAAACACTCACGGCGAAAAGCCTCAGCCAACTTTGGTGAAAATCCCAGATCACTCAGAAGAAGTCCCTTCTCAAGTGAGTCTTTTTCCTTTTTTGGGCTTTTATCTAATCCATTTAATAAATTAATTTATTTGATTGATCTTGTTTGTTATCAAAAGCTTGAAGTGGACCCAACGGAATGTCCTGAATGGTTGCCTAACGGTTGGAAAGTGGAGCTGAGGACACGACAGAGTGGTGTGCAAGTTGGAAAAGAATACAAGGTAACATTTATGTGAATGTATGTTATGTGTGTATTGCCGTTATTGTCTGGTGAATTTATACTTAATACCTTTTTTATTGTAAGGCCATTACAAGTGGCTGCTTATTAGTTTTACTTAGGAACTCCTAGGTTGTTATTAATGATGATATTGCTAGTAGTATTTGCAAAATAAAAAAAAAAAATGAAAAAAAAAGATAATGATTTAGCTATTATTCCATGTTGGTGTGGCACACTCATATTTGACGTGTAGCTAGTGTTCCAAAATGCAAGGTTGGCACGGCACGTGCATATTTGACATGTGTGTGTTCTATGTTGAGGCTCAATATTTACTGTTGTATTGATGATTTGATGGCAATTTAGATTGAATACATATTTAGGTCTATCAGATATTTTCCATCCAAAATTTGGTCTAAGGTTTTGTCAGAATAGTTGTGCACATACTAGTGCTATAGTTATTTTAGCAACTATATTAGTAACATTACTTAGATACAAGATGTTAAACTTTCAAAAAGAATATGTTGAAGCAAGTAGTAATTTATGCCTTCCATGATATAGGCTGGAAATAAGTATTAGGATAATGGTTATGGCATGTTTGAAGGAATCTAGTCATTAAACTACATTGTTTTCATCTGAAATTTATTGCTGCACTTATTCATCTTAATGCTAGGTGTTAAACTATATGCTATGAAGGATGTTAGGCATGAAATTCTGTGGTTCGACTCTTATTTTTAATGGTAACATGTGACATGTCATTAAGTCGTGAGCAATAATTTTAGTGTGCTAGAATTCTAGAAATTGTTTATCTCCAAACCATGTCTTGCATAATTGTGCCAACATTAAAGCTGTACTATGTTGTTTTTTTCATCCATTCATATAGTGATTATATTTGCTATTGTATTATGCGGTGTAAGCACCTGTCTATTGTACAACTTAAAGAGAGGGTCTATGTGGTTTTACAAAAATAGTCTTGTAACTTTACTGTTATATTGACTTGATTAACTTTTCTATTGCAGTGTTACATTGATCCCTTCAGAGAATGTACATTTTATTCCAAGCCAGAGGTATTTCGATATCTCAAAACTGTAAAACGGAAGAGCTCAAAGTCTGGAACTCTAACTATAAGCAGCAAGAGATGCATAACGGAAAAGAAGGCTGTCACTACCATGCAGTTGGCAAAAAATGTTTGTTCCCTTTCATACTCTGTTGCTGTAATTCTTTTCCTACTTATTTGGTTGGATAGGGACAAAAATTCTATTAAAAAAAGACCCAAAAATGGTTTATAAATTGAAATCCTCAATCGAGAAAGAAATCAAAATCTAACTACAATTAATTTTCTTTAGAAGTGTGCTTAAATTTATAGAAAAGCCTAAAGTTCAGAACACTTGGCATTCCATGTGATGTAATTTATCAGGGAAGTTTGCCATTTGAGAGTCCTGAAACGTCTGCCTCCAATGTATTTTTTTTCTTTCCAACAATCGCATTCCATCTCTTAAATGGTTGAAAACTTCAACATGATGACGAGTTTTAGAATTGTCCTATATTTTTACTTTTTCATATGAGTGAGGTATCCTGCTTAGGTCATTATATCTGGGTCATCTAGTATGTAAAAATCAAAGCATGGAAAGTGGTATAAGATTTCTCTAGGCTAAGTATGTTTACTACCTTAATCATTGGAATAAAACGGATTAGAGAAATAGGTTTCAGCTGAAATACTTGTATACGGGATTATGGGATAAGTATAAGTTGTGGTATTTTAGGATCATTTCTCCCACTATTGTTGAATGATGATGTAATGGGGATACCTGAAAGGCAGACCAGTCAGCTACCTCACTAAACTTTTCTACAACTAGAGCCTAGCAAAGAGTGAGATTGTTAATATGAGTCCAGCCTGCCAAACATCCAATTGCTGAACCTCATCCATCTCTGTATTCCTGCAAATAACTTAACCTGTAGCCATTCTGCTTTTCTGAAGAATTTCACCCATCTTTTGAGTTATTTTAAGGGAAACAAGAAAATTTTAGAGGTTGCGTGTTTACACTATGAATGGATTAAAATTTCCATTGTAGTTGTATTGTGAAAAAGAGAAGTTGTAAACTGTATATTATGTTTCATCTAAAAAAATAAAAGAAAGAAATAAGAGTTGTAAAATGTTTCTGTGAAAATGATTCTAAGCATGAGGTGTCCTGATATGGACGATACCTCACTTCCATATTTCAGTACGAAGGTTTCTATTGCATGACACACTGAAGATTCATCATGATTGCTTTCTGTTTAGGAATTTCATGTTATTACATTTTGTTTAATCCAGTATGCGTGTTGATGTATAATTTAGGTTTATGTTGAGAAACATCATGTGGAGGATTTACCACCAGGATGGATAAAGGAGATCAAAGTTACAAAGTATGCAAATCGATTTAGAAGAGACCCGGTATAAAATTTAGTTACCCTGATACTTATTCCGGTTGGTGTTAATTCTGCTGATCACCTCTGTGCCTCCCTATCTCTCTCCATGCATACACATGCACTTGTGTGCTTTCCATGCTTAGTGTTGCTTTATTAATAATCCAACTAACTGCAGTTTTTTCTATGTTCTTTACTATGTATTATATGTTGATTTATAGTGGTCCATTCCTTTGTACAGTATTACACAGATCCCAACTCTGGATACGTATTCCGCTCCAAAAAAGATGTTATTCGCTATCTTGAAACTGGAGAGATGAGTAAATATGCATTTAAACCCAAGAATATGTGCAATAATGATCTGAAGTTGGTTAATGATGATATTGCAGTAAGTGCTCTATTCCTGCTGTTTGTTTCCATCACCGATGTTCTTTGCTACTGCAATATTATTGTTCACTAGCACAACACCTACATTATTTCTGTAAAACAGTTTTTTGTGAAAAATCAGAATACTTATTGTTGTTTTCCTTAAAAACTTCAGTGCTAGAAACATAATAACCCATATTTACTTGAAAATAATTTGACCACGCAGGATATGGTGTGATGTATGACTAGCATGTGCAAAAACATAATAAAGTTCTAAGTGAGATTCATATATACTACTTTGGTTAAATAGTTGGTCTAGGTGTTGCTCTTATGCTTTTTGCATAAATAATTAGGCTTAATTAAAAAAAAAAAAAAATACGGGCCCCAAAAGAAATATGACTCTTGGAATTACGTAAGTGAAAGCTTTCTTGTGTTGTGGCGTTTCGATTTTCTATTTTATGCTGCTTAAAGTGTCTGTTTTCATAATTGGTTTGGAGCATCGTTTCTACTTTGGCTAACATTCTTTGATGTTGTACTAGGTCAATTTCATGCGTATTAACTTACCCATTTTAGCAAAGATAGAATTCCCAATTAATAAATATAGCTGTTCAGTTTTCATACTTATCTGATATACTGTTCTGATTACCTGTCTCTTAAAGAAATAGCAGGTATTTAGTAAATTCTCTTTAATGAATAAAATTATAGAAGTATGAAACCAAGGAACTCCAAGTTAAAACTACTCTCTCTCTCTAACTATGACCGGATGATTGTGGTAGGCTTGTTAACAACAATTTTATCACTTTTATCAGTTATATGTTATTTCTGTGCACGTGGGAGATTTTACTAATAATATGCTTATCCTTGTTTTCCTGTTACTGTAGCCATCATCTACCACCAAAATGCAAAAACATGAGCACCCAGTCACGAGGAGACAGCTATCACAGCCAAAAGTTGAACTCTCTGACAAACGTGAAGGTAAAAGGTCATTGCTTGAAGGTGAAGGTTCTGCGATAGATCCAGGCAAAATGAGTTCTGCTCGAGATGAGCCTGTTTTGACTCCTGCTGCTTATACCTTGAATGAGAACAATTCACTTGAACCTGTGATGGAAAAAAGCAATGTGAGAAGAGCCCTTGTACACTCGGGCAAATCGAAAAACAAGGAAATGCTTAATTTGTCTCGTCGGTCCTCAAAACGACTTGCTAGGAGCAGGTTAGAACTACCAGAAACTGAAATCTCCAAGTTACTAGACAAAGGAGTATCCTCTGAAAGTGTAGTAGACTTTGCTTCAACAACTGATGTTATCCAAGAGAAGCATTTAACTGGGAACATACTGGAAAAATGTGCCAAAACTAAGGAAGATTGTTCTCCAGACACTTCAATGGAAAAAAGCAATGTCAGAAGAACCCCAATAGACTCGAGCAAATCAAAAAACAAGGAAATGCTTAATTTGTGCCGTCGGTTCTCAAAACGACTTGCTGGGAGCAGGTTGGAACTACCAGAAACTGAAAGCTTCAAGTTGCTAGACAATAGGGTACCCTCTGAAAATGGACTGGCCTTTGCTTCGACAGCTGGGGTTGTCCAACAGAAAAATTTAACTGGGAACTTGCTTGAAAAATGTGCCAAAACTAAGGAAGATTGTTCCCCAGACACTGTGATGGAAAAAAGCAATGTCAGAAGAACCCTGGTAGACTCGAGCAAATCAAAAAACAAGGAAAAGCTTAATTTGTCTCGCCGGTTTTCAAAACGACTTGCTGGGAGCAGGTTGGAACTACCGGAAACTGAAATTTCGGAGTTGCCAGACAAGATGGTACCCTTAGTAAGTGGAGTTGCCTTTACTATGACAGCTGATGTTGTTCAAGAGAAGCATTTAACTAATAACATGCCGGAAAAATGTGCCAAAACTAAGGAAGATGGTTCTCCAAGTGGGTCATCACACCCAAAAGCTGAACTCTCGGAGAGACAGGAAGGAGAAAGGTCATTGCTTGAAGTTGTAGGTTCTGTGATAGACCCAGGAAAAATGATGTGTGCTGGAAATGAGCCCGTTTTGACTCCTGCTTCTTCCACCCTGAATGAGAATAATTCGCATAAGACTGTTGAGAAAAAAAGCGACGTCAGAAAAGCTCCAATAGGCTCGAGCAAATCCAAAAACAAGGAAAAACTTATTTTGTCTCGTCGGTCCTCAAAACGACTTGCTGGGCTTGAACCAGAGGAGGTTGCTAACTTGGCTTCCAGTGAACGAGCTGTTCAAGCTCCAACTAGGAAGCCTAGTAAAAGTGATACCAGTCAAGACGTAGGTTTGGCTTCAGATCTAGTAAACAGAGCATCTCAGCAGCTTGGGGCTGCATCAGAAGCAGAGGTTTCACATCATGCTTTAACTGGCATAAAATCTGTATCTCATGAGGACAAGATGCCAATTGATGACCCAGTGGTTCCCAGAGCGCAACAAGAGCTGGAAACTGAGAAAATGGATGCTGAGAAGCCAGAGCCAGAGCTCAGCTTTCTGTTTGGTTCAGACCCATGCTTAGAATTCGCATTCAAAACACTTACAGGGGAATTGCCAATAGCTGATACTATGTATAACAGATCTATTTTGAGACCTGCAGCTGATATGCTGCATAAAAAAAATTTACTTGACAGTGGGATGGAAAAGAACTGCAGTAGAAACAAATCCAAGAAAAATAAAGATCTTAAGTTCTCCAGTTGGTCTTCAAAACAGTATGCTGGGGTTCAACCTGAGCTGCTGGCTAATACTACATCCAAGGAACGAGCTATCCGAAATGCAACTGAAAATTCATGTCAAAGTATAGCCATCCCCGCTGTGGATTTGGCAGATGAAGCATCTCAACCGCTTGAGATTACACCAGTGGTGAAGCTTGCCAGTCGTGCTTGTACTGCTATATACAATTCAATGCAAGAGGAGACGTCATACAAGAGTGCGAAGGTTCTTGAAGAGCATGCTGTTCCTCAGGAGAAACTCCAGAAGTTTGAAACTGAGAAGGCATATGTTGAGAATCCAGAGCCACAGTTCCCTTTCCCTTTCACGGATTCATGGTCTGACCCATGCCTCGATTTTGCATTCAAGACTCTTACAGGTGCAATTCCATTAGAGGATGATTATTATCAAGGTTACTTCCAAGAAAAACTTGACACATCTCACAATATGGCACTATCAGATTTTGGCTCACCTAGCTTGTTTCGAAGTGATAATTTACCTCAGTTCGATCTGCCAGAACAATCTGCTTCTGGCCAACAGTTATCCATGAATTCTGCATTCCTGCCTTCAGGAAATGTGAGCATGCCAAATTGCAGTGGAATTGGTTCAGGCCAACAGTTATCTAGGAATCCTTCATCCCTCCCAGCAGGAAATGTGAGCATTTCAAATTGCAGTGGGGTTTGTTCAGGCCAACAGTTATCCATGAATTCTGCATTCCTGCCTTCAGGAAATGTGAGCATGCCGAATTGCGGTGGAATTGGTTCAGGTCAACAGTCATCTAGGAATCCTTCATCCCTCCCTCCAGGAAACGTGAGCATGTCAAATTGCAGCGGGGTTTGTTCAGGCCAACAGTTATTTAGGAATCCTACATCCCTCCCTACAGGAAACTTGAGCATTTCAAATTGCAGCGGGGTTTGTTCAGGCGACCAGTTATCCATGAATTCTTCATTCCAGCCCGCTGGAAACATGAGCACATCAAATTTCAGTGCGGTGTGTTCAGGCCAACAGTTATCTCTAAATTCTTCTTTACTGCCTGCCGGAAGCTTGGTTGGTTCGCAGTGGCCTTGCGTAGATGATTATCATGGAAAGGTGAAGTCGTAGAACAAAGGTAGTTCCTGTCTACAAATAGACAGGTTTCTGTAAGTTCTACATCTTGAAACCCTGTAACTGCATGTTGTGATGTAGCAGCGTAATCTGTGTGAATGTATATTTATTCTGCAAGTGCTTTCTTCCTGCGTATAGACTGCCCAACAGAAATTTAAACTTGAGGTGTCACGCAAGTCATAACTGTTATTTAGCGTATAAAGTACTGGCATCGAGCAAAACTGCATCCTTCCGGCATCCACCATGCCACTCTTTTTACTCGTGATCACAGCAATCACCATCACGGTCTTCACTGGTAATCTCTCCTCTGACTTAGTCATTCCTTTTCGTATGGTGTTGGTGGCATTCTCCCCTCGCATCCGGTGTCTGTTAATATTGAATCTAGCCGAGTTCTGAATCGAGATTACGTTTAGAGAAAGTTTTGGTTCCTCATCAATTTCTCTATCGACAAGCTTATTCGTAAGACATTTTGTGGTACGCACTTCGCTGTTGTTTTGTCTTGAAAAAATGGCTTAGGGCCGAGCGTGGGCTAACCTGAGTTGAAAGCCATAATCCTCGGCTAGGTAATGCTCCCTTAGTCTAGTGGGCTTTCAGCTCAACAAATGACTAATTCGACTAAGCCCTTGGGAAAGTAGGATTTTAAAAAGATGAAGTTTAAGCGCGCGGTTGGTCAAAGTCCTTAGTGAACTAAAATTGTCAATGATCATAACCATATCTATTTAGATGCAAATTGTTTTAAGGACTAGAATTCATTCTTGATTAATCACATAAAGAGACTAGGTTCAAAATCCTGGTTTGAATCAAAGTGGTTGAGACTAGATGGATATGAGTTTCAGCTAAGAAGGGGATTAGAGAGATTAAATTAGAATATTCAAGTATATGCCAAGTAAGCACAATCTCATAAGGACTTTATCAATATTCAAGTATATGTTGAGTAAACACAGTCTCATCAAGACTTTACCAATATTCAAGTATATGTCGAGTAAACACAGTGTCATCAGGACTTTACCTTAACAGATTTGTTTATCATGAAGATCATCCCCTATAAATAGAAGGGGTTCTGCAATATGGAAAGCACATTCAACTCAACAAACAACTCAAACGCTCTACGTGAATCCCTTGCTTTATGAGAAACCCTTCTCACCCTTGAGAAAAACACTAACTATCCTAACCCTCATGTCTACACATGTATAAATATACAACACTGGCATCGTTGAATCAAACAGCCTATGAGCACCTTTAGTTTGGACAAGTAAACAACCCAACTTTTAGGTTGGTTGGTTATCGGCTAGCAAATACTTTCCGATCTTTCGCCTAAAGAGGTCACTTCATTAGCTTCCAAGCGAAATGAGGTGTTACCATGTTACCTCATGTTCGTCACATTGAATCGAACCATTTATTGAACTTCGTAGTGATTTAGTGACCTTGTCTTCAGGTACTAGAACCCAAGGCTGAGACGTGTTCCTTGTTTGTTTGTAGTCTCTTAAGTGTAGAAATTAGCAACGCATTCGACATCGCGACCATATTTATTCCACTCGCCCGACCGAGCTCGATTACAAGTTGCCACACCCGTATTTACAAGAAGGATGTAATTAACTCATAGTTACTTTGGCATACACGCCATGTAAGCTTTTCATTATCCAATGTTTGCAAAATATTATATCCCTATGCATGCATGGGAGTAAAAGTTCTTATTACGTTAATTCTCGTACATAATCATCAGTGGTACCAGAGTCGTCGTCATATATTTTTATTCTAAGCTCACCTTTAGCACTAGCAATGGTGAATATTATAGCTTCTTTCCAGTCTGGCATAGACCCATTGTTAGTGTTTATGGCTTTCTTTCTTAGTTTTGTGTATTTGGATTTCTGGGAAGAGAGAGAGTGAGCTACAAAGAATATGCAGCAATGGTGACTGAAGATGATGATTGAAATTGGTTATTCTCTCACACCTCAGGTGTGATATAACCACTAGAGGAGAGAGAAGTGAGATGCTTCTCTAACCAACACAAGATCAAATCCTAGCCTTAGATTCTATCACCTTGTGAGATGATTACACATGTCATAATTTATCACTTAAATCTTAGGCTAGCTAAGAGAGCCACTTGGACTATGATCCAACAATTCTCATTACATCCGAAATAAACATTATAAAATGACATTCAAAATATAGCTTTTGGCTCTAAGAAATCAGCAAAGTTGTTAAGCACTAACACTCCCTTCCAAACCTTTAGCTGATTTCACTCCAAGTAATTCCCTCAAATTAGCAAATCTATCCTTTGGCAAGGCCTTGGTGAGTATGTCTGCAATCTAGTCTTTAATTCTGCAATAAACCAGCTCGATTTCCTTTGCTTGAATAGCTTCCTATATGAAATGGAGTTTCCTGTTGATATGCCTAGTTTTCTAGTGAAAACCTAGATTATTTGCCATTGCTATAACTAATGTATTGTCACAAAGAATTGGTGTGCCTTCCACTTGCTCCTCACCGAATTCTTCAAGCACAAACCCTAACCATTTTGCCTATGATGTAGCTTCTACAACACTTACATATTTTGCTTCTGCATTTGATAAGGCCATAGTGTTTTGTTTGATTGAAGCCCACAAAAACACACCTGAGCTAAGTGAAAACACATAACCTAAGGTGCTTCTCATGTCATCCTCACTTCTAGCTCAGTCATTGTCCCAATACCCTATCAAAGTAGTTGATTTTCCTTTCACAAACTCAATTCCAAAGTCAAGAGTGCCCTGGATGTATCTTAATACTATATTGGCTGTTCCAATATGTTTTTTTTGTGGGATTATGCATAAACCTAGCAAGTAAGCTAGATGTAAACATTATATCTAGTCATGTGGCAATTAGGTATAACAAGCTACCTACTAGCTTTCCGTATCACTTTTATCTGCAGCTTCACTGCCATTTACTTTACATAGTTTGCCATTCATTGCAAGAGAAGTAGCCGCAGACTTGCAATTTCTCAGCCCAAACTTTTCAATGAGCTTCATTGCATACATCTTTTGGTGTATAAAAATGATTTTCTCATTTTGTATCACTCCCATGCTAAGGAAATGATGAAGTAGTCCCAAATTTGTCATTTCATAATGACTCATCATGTCATTCTTGAATTCTTCAAGCAATCTTGGACAACTCCCAATGTATACAATATCATCCACATAAAGTGAGACAGTAATGATACCTGAACCTTCACTGGTCTTGACATACAAAGTCTCTTCACTTGAGCTCTTCTTGAATCCAGTATTGTTGAAATATGCATCTATTTCATCATACTAGGCTCTTGGAGCTTGCTGCAGCCCATACAAAGCTTTATTCAACCTGTACACCTTAATTTCTTCATCTTCCTTCACAAACCCTTGTGGCTGCTCTATAAAAACCTCATATTTCAAGACTTCATTCAGAAAAGTAGACTCTACGTCAAGTTGATATAGATTCCACTTCTTCTGTGCAACAAAAGCTATCAAGATCCTAATAGTATTTAACCTTGCCACTAGGGAAAAAGTTGCATTGTAATCTATCCCTGGCTTTTGGGAATAGCCCTTTGCAACCAGTCTAGCCTTGTTCTTTTGCCCAATCCATCTAGGTTTAGCTTAGTTTTATAAACCCAATTAACAACAATGATTGGTTTGTCAAATGGTCTATCAAGTAGCTTCCCTGTACTTTTTTTCTTAATCATCTCTAGTTCATATTCTATTGCCTTCTTCCAAGATTCATCTAGTGTAGCTTCTTCATAGTTTTTAGGCTCTATAATGCATATGTTACACTGAGCCATGATCTTACTTAGACTTTTCCACTTATGTGGTGTATGATCAACTGCATGAGAACTTTCAATTTCACTTTCACTCGGTTGAGTATCAATTGGAGATACTGTTTCCATTTGGTTCACTTGATTCACAAATCTTAATTGACTTCTAACCATCATTACATTATGTCCCCTGATACTCAGTAACCACAGAGACTCTCATTTCACCTTTCTTTGTTCACTCCTGCTTCCATGAAGCATCTTCATAAAAACTGACATCTCAGGACAAAATGATTCTCTTGGAGATTGGATCAAACAATCTGTATCTTTTCTCATTGATTCCATAACCCAAAAATATACACTTATGACTATTTTCTTCAAGCTTGTGTCTCAATGTTGAAGGGATGTGAACATAGCACAGTGATCCAAATATTTTCAAGTGTGCAATGCCCAGTTTTCTGCCACTATAGGCCTCAAATGGGGTCATCTTCTTTAGAGCCTTGGAGGGGCATCTGTTGAGTAAATAGACTGTTGTATTCACTACTTCTTCCCAAAATGCATAAGGAAGATCATTTTCATGCATCATAGACTTTGCCATCTCTACCACAGTTCTATTATTCCTTTCAGCAACTCCATTTTGCTTATGAGTGTATGCCAGAGTTAATTGCCTATGAATCCCAAAGTCATTGCAGTATTTGTCAAATTCAGTAGATAGGAACTCTCCACCTTTGTCACTTTTGAGACATTTCACCTTATAACCACTTTGCAACTCTGTCATTGCTTTAAACTTCTTAAAGCACTTAAATGCACTTGATTTATTTCTAAGAAAGCACACCCATGTTATCCTTGTGTAGCCATCAATGAACAATAATAAGTACTTGTTTCCAGATATGGATTCAGTTTGCATTAGTCCACAGATTTCTGTGTGAACCAATTCCAGTGGAAATTGAGCTCTCCAAGTGGATTCTGATGAGAATGATTCTCTATGTTGCTTTCTCAGCATACAATCTTCACATATGATAGTGCTTTTCTCCAAGTAAGGCAATCCATGGACCATTTCTTGATCTTCAAGTAATCTGAGACTTCTATCATTTAAGTGTCCCAGCCTCTTGTGCTATGTATATGAAAAACACCTATTGTTAGTCACTTGTACTCACACTAAAGTTGTCAAGTGACCAACCATCAAAGATATTCACCACTATCCTCCAAACAACAAGTAATAGCCATGCTCTATCATCTGTCC